TTAATAATCATAATCATAATAAAAATAAAAATATTCATAATAATAATAATTGTAATAATATTATTACTAATAATAATACTAATAATAATACTAATAATAATAATGATAAGACTAATAATAATAATACTACTAATAATAGTAATAATAATACTAATACTAATACTAATAATACTAATATTAATAATACTAATACTAATAATCATAATACTAATACTAATAATACTACTACTACTACTACTACTATTAATAATACTAATAATAATACTAATAATAACACTAATATTAATAATAATACTAATACTAATAATAATAATAATAATACTAATACTAATAATAGTACTACTACTACTACTAATAATAGTATTAATAATAATATTACTAATAATAATAATACTAATAATAATACTACTAATAATAATAATAATAATAATAATAATAATAATAATAATAATAATAATATTAATAGTACTAATAAGAAGAAGAAGAAGAATAATAAGAAGAAGAAGCATCAGAAGAAGAATAAGACTAATAATAATAATAAGAAGAATAAGAATAAGAAGAAGAAGAATAAGAAGACGAATAAGAATAATAATAAGAATAATAATAAGAATAATAATAAGAATAATAAGAATAATACTAAGAAGAATAATAAGAATAATAATAAGAAGAATAATAAGAATAATAATAAGAAACATAATATTAATAAGAATAAAAACTAGATATAATAAGAATAAGAGGAGGAGAGGAGGGCGGAAGGAGGAGGAGGAGGAGGAGGAGGAGGAGGAGGAGGAGGAGGAGGAGGAGGAGGCGGGAAGATGAGGAGGGAGCAGAGAGGAGGAGGAGGAGGAGGAGGATGGAAGGAGGCGGAGGAGTGGTTGGGGTGGTGGAGGAGGAGGAGGAGAAGCACAATGACCAGAGGGAGGAGGGAATGTGGGATGGGCAGGAGGGGAGGAGGGGAGGTAGGTAGGAGGAGGAGGCGGAGGAGGAGGAGGAGAGGGGGAGGAGGAGGAGGTGGCGGAGAGGAGGAGCGAGGAGGAGAAGAGGAGGAGGAGGGGAGGAGGGGAGGAGTGAGGGGCGGAGGAAGGAGGAGGAGGAGGAGGAGGAGCGTGCAGGAGGAAGAGGAGGAGGATGCAGGAGGAGGAGGAGGAGGAGGAGAGGAGGAGGAGGAGGAGGAGGAGGAGGTAGGAGGAGAGGAGGAGGAGGAGTGAGGAGGAGGAGGCGGAGGAGGAAGGTGGGGGAGAAGGTGGAGTAGGTTGATGCGGAGGAGGTCGAGGAGGTCCCCGGCGCCAAGGCAGGGCTCCTCCCCTTGGGCCTTGGGGCCCGAGGGCGGGGAGGGCTCACGGCCTCCGTGCGCGCCCGCGGTGCGTCCCCAGGCCTCCAGCTGCGCCGCAACGATCCTGGTGTTCTGCCTTTTTCGGTTCGGCCTCCTGGGGGCCTCCACCGGGGCCTCAGGCCCCTCCAAAAGCGGCTCAGGATGGAGCGTCGGCCCTGGGGAACGGGTCCAGGCTTCGGACACGTCGGATCTCTGGGTCCGAGCTCTCCCAGCCGATTGGCCGGCCCCTCGCCGCAGCTCGAGGGCGGCCGCCGCCCTGTCTGCCGCGTCCGTGCGCACGCTGCGTTGGTGTGCTCCTGCCGCTCGCAGAGAGCAACCCTGACGCTGTGAATGTCCATCGCACCGCGGCGTTTCACCTGGGAGGTGGCAGCTGCTTGTGGGGTTGTTCGCGCGTGAAAAGATCGGCGCTCGCAGAGCGTCGGGTTTCCTCTCGGGCATGCTGGCACCCCTCGGCATGTGCAGACGCCGTTCGGGCTGGGCACCTGCCAGCCCTCTGGGTCCGCAGCGCTGCCCTCTCTCGGCCAGCCTCGCGCCGAAGCCCGAGGGTGGCCGCCGTCCTTCCTCTCGGGCCCTGTTGGCTTGTTGGCACCCCTCGGCAGGTGGAGACGCCGTTCGGGCTGGGCACCTGCCGGCGCCTACGGCTGGCAGCCCCGGGCGGCGCGGCCACTGGCGGCGCGAGCGCCGCGGGGAGCGCTGTCGTGGAGCACGTCGTCGTGGACCGCCGCCGTCGTCGCCGTCGCCGTTGTCGTCGTCGCCGCTGCCGTCGCCGCCGCCGCCGCCGTCGGCCGCCGCCGCCGCCGCCGCCGCCGTCGTCGTCGTCGTCGTCGTCGTCGTCGTCGTCGTCGTCGTCGTCGTCGTCGTCGTCATCGTCGTCGTCATCGCCGTGCAGCAGGTCGCCGTCGTCGTCGTGGGGATTGTGGTCAGGCGTGGGTCGCCGTCGTGGGTCTGGGCTCGCCGCCACGGGCCCCCGAGGGGCAGGACGGCGATGGGTGACGACGGGAGGGGGGAGGCGGGGGGGGGGAGGGGGGGAAGGAGGGAGGAGGGAGGAGGGAGGAGGGAGGAGGGATGGCGGAGGAGGAGGGAGGAGGGAGGAGGGTTAAGGAGGAGAAGGGAGGAGGGAGGAGGAGGAGGGGAGGAGGGAGGAGGCAGGAAGGCAGGGGGAGGAGGGAGGAGGGAGGAGGTAGGAGGAGGAGGGGAGGAGGTGGAGGGAGGCAGGGAGGAGGAGGAGGGAGGAGGGAGGAGGGAGGAGGGAGGAATGTTCCTAGATGGAGGAGGGCAAGGAGGGAGAGGGAGGAGGGAGGAGGGAGGATGGGAGGAGGAGGAGGGAGGAGGGGAGGAGGAGGAGGCAGGAGGGAGGAGGGTGGAGGGAGGAGGGAGGTGGGGAGGAGGGAGGAGGAGGAGGGAGGAGGGAGGAGGGAGAGGGAGGAGGGAGGAGGGAGGCGGGAGGAGGGAGGAGGGAGGATGGGAGGTGGAGGATTGCGAGGAGGGAGGTAGGAGGGAGGAGGGAGGAGAGGGATGGAGGGAGGATGGGAGGAGGGAGGGATGGGAGGGAGGGAGGGAGGGAGGGTGGGAGGGAGGGTGGGAGGGAGGGAGGTGGGAGGAGGAGGGGAGGAGGTGGAGGAGGAGGAGGAGGTGGCGGACGGAGGAGGAGGAGGAGGAGGAGCTAGGAGGAGGAGGAGGAGGAGGAAGAGGAGGAGGTCCTGAGGAGGAGGGAGGAGGAGGAGGTGAAGTGAGGGGAGGAGGAGGAAGGAGGAGGAGGAGGAGGAGGAGACGGAGGAGGAGGAGGCGGAGCGAGGAGGAGGAGGAGGAGGAGGAGGGAGAGGAGGAGGAGGAGGGAGGAGGAAGAAGAGGCGGAGGAGGAGAGGTAGGAGGAGGAGGAGGAGGAGGATGAGGAGGCGGAGGAGGCGGAGGAGGCGGAGGAGGCGGAGGAGGAGGAGGAGGAGGAGGAAGAGGAGGAGGCGGAGGAGGAGGAGGAGGAACATAATAATAATAACAGGAAGACGAAGCAGAAGACGAACCCTACACATAAGACTATTACTACTAATACTATCAATGAGAGTAAGACGACGCAACATACTAATAATAATCAGAAGAAGACTAGTACGAACAATAATACGAGGACGACTACTACGAATAACACGAATAATATAAACAATAAGAAGACGAATACAACAACTAATAACAATACTTTTTCTAAGACGAAGAAGACTAATACCAATAATACTACGAATAAGAATAATACTATTAATAATAATACGAAGAATACGAAGACGAATAGTTATAACCATCCGAATACTAATAATCATACTAATAAGAAGACTAGTACAACGAATAATAATATCATTATTAATACTAAGAATAACAATAATACGACTAATATCATTAATACTAATAAGAACAATAATAATACTATCAATAATAATAGTAAAAATAAGAATACTACTAATAATAATATTAATAATACTATTAATACTACTAATCTTAATCATAATAATAATACTAATAACAATAATAATATGATAAGAATAAGAAGAATACTAATAAGAAAAATAATACTAATAATACTACTACTAATAATAATAAGAATAAGAATAATAACAATAATAATACTAAGAAGAATATTACGAAGAAGAATAATACGAAGAAGAGGAGGAGGAGCAGGAGGAGGAGGAGGGACAGGAGGATCGAGGAGGAGGGACAAGGGAGAAGGAGCAGGTGGAGGGGAGGGGAGGCTCGGAGTGAGGAGGCGAAGGAAGGGAGGGAGGGGGGAGGGAGGGAGGAGGGAGGGAGTAGGCTGGGGAGGAGGATGATGAGTTGGAGCTGAAGTTGGAGTAGAGCACCAATCCGTCGGATAGACCTGCCCTCAGCAGCAGATGGAGTTGGAGAAGGACGAGGAGACGGGGGGAGAATGAGGAGGAGGAGGAGGAGGAGGAGGAGGAGGAGAAGGAGGAGGAGGGAGGAGGAGAAGGATTGAAGTTCGGGTTCAGTATGTGCTCTTGAAACCGAGTGCTCGCTGCAGACAGTGAGTTGGAGACTCAAGGTGGCATCAATCAGAAGCATCATACCGATCGAAACGTTTAATTTCGTGATGCTCCTGCTGTGAATATCCGTAAGGGCTTCGCCCCCTGCCGCCGGCCCCCTCTCTCGGATCATGGGCAGTGCAAGAGCGAAATCATGAGGCCTTGGCGCCGCCGTGAAGCAGCGTCGGGACTTTACGCGAAGACGATGAGTAATCGGCAAGACAAATTGCGATTCTGATCATATTGTTGAATTCTGTGTTGTATTTCAAGGGTTTATGGCTTCGAATACGCGAATAGCGCGTAATGTGCGAGGGTTGATGGCTTCGGGCTCGCAAACATAGTGTAATTATGCAGGTTCATGGCTTCGGAGACGCGAATATGAGTAATTTGTGAGGGTGTATGGCTTGGACACGCGATTATTTTGTAATTTACAAGGGTTTTATGGCTGCGGGGTCGCAAATACTGCATCATTTACACAGGTTTATGGCTTCGGAGACGCGAATGCCGCGTAATTTAGGAAGGTTTATGGCTTCCGGTACGCGAGTATGGCGTGATTTACGAGCGTTTGTGGCCTCGGGGACGCAAATATTGTGTAATTTACTTGGGTTTATAGCTTCGGGGACACGTATATTGTGTATTTTGGAAGGTTTGTGGTTTCGGGGACGCGACTTTAGCGTAAGTTGCGAGGGTTTATGGCCTCGGGGACGCGATCATCGTGTAATTTACAAGGGTTTATGGCATCGGGGGCGTGAATTTCAAGTATTTTTACGTGTCTCACGCTCCCCCCAGTAGTTTCAGAGATTGCGATTCGAGCGTGGTAACTAGGTTCCTTCTCGGCTCCACCCCCTCGCGCGGTCCATCAACAAGGAACAGTAAGCAGCAAGAAGCAGAACTGTGGAAACTGGAAACTGGAACTGGTACAGGGAACAGCAAACCTTGGTCCTACAGCCTGGTGGCCCCACAATGGGGCCGGTGGATTTCCCAGGACCTTGCATCTGCGCAACGAGTAGAGGCAATTCATTCTATATGTCAGGGCTCTGTTAGCATGTAAATATAGTTTCAAACAGGTAAAGGCATACGCGCTTCCACAAGTCCGCTGCATCATACTCGTGAGGGCCTGTCGTTGAATATGTCCGATTGGATGGTTCGGAGTTGGAGAGTCGTATGGTCGAGGTGACTACAGACTTAATGCGGTCATAATGATATGGTTCGACTGCTATTGAGAAATAGCCAGGAGCTCTGCACAGGTTGGTTCAGATTAGGTCTGGGGTAATTGTGACTTGCGTAGGGTACGTGATGCTGCTATCCGCTAGCTGCACATACTTTGTATGGTCACCATGCGGTTGGTATTGCGCGACCTTGACTTGTGTTCGCTGTGGCGACGGGGTAGCTATTCCATTGCTGCGGGGTGGCTTAGTATTAGCCCGAAGCAGCTATCATATCAACGCTGGCAGCGGTGGAATGAGACGTTGAGATTGAGAAGCGTGTGTCGGACACGATCCTTGGCTGGCCTGTCAGCAGGAACCGCATGTAATGAACAGGATCTCTTGTACGTGGGGGCAGGAACCATTGCTGGCAGGGGTTCTGGCGTTGGAAGCGTTTGTGAACAGCCCTCAAGCAAGCCATTTTAGGCGACATTCGTAAGTCTTTTCATGGGTAGCCACCACAGTCGGAGCGAGGACCGGGTTCCGATCAGAGGGAGAAGCGTAACCGCACGAGGCACGTGCCATCGCTCTCGCGGGGAGTAGTCGGATGCCCTCACCTGTGGCGCTCCGTGCAGGCATGCTGCTCTCCCGAGGACTGCGAGCGCGCGGTGCACTGCCCTGGCATGTCACGGTGAGCCACTCGTGGGTCGGCCCCCTTCGTGATCGCGCTGTTCTGTGAGCAGGGTGCTATATACATTATGTATATATATATATATATTTATATAATGCATGCATGTATGAATGTATGTATGTATCTTTGTATGCATGCATGCATGCATACACGACTATGTCTGTGTGTATGTCTGTCTGTCTGTCTGTCTGTCTGTCTGTCTGTCTGTCTGTCTGTCTGTCTG